TATACCACGACTGGAGCTGACAGCGGCATTGACATCTGTAAGAATCAGTACTAAACTACAAGAAGAGCTCGAATACAGTAACATTACAGAATTCTACTGGACAGACAGTCAAGTGGTTTTAGGGTACATTCGCAACGACGCACGGCGATTTCACGTATTCGTCTCAAACAGAGTACAGCAAATCTGAGACCATAGTTCTCCCGACCAATGGAGCTATGTACGTACAAACGAGAATCCAGCGGACGCCGCCTCACGGGGTATCACCGCCCGGGAACTAGTTCATGATTCAAGATGGTTGACAGAACCTAACTTCCTGTGGAAGGCGCAGGTCAAGCCTCTAGAGGAACAAGCAGAAGTCACCCCCGTACTCTCTGACGACAACCCAGAAGTAAAGAAGGAGTCGCAAGTCTTCCCAACATTGACAAAGGAGGTCATGAAATTTGCGACCATCCTCAAACGTCTAGAAAGATTCTCTAGCTGGCACAAGGCTAAAACAGCAGTGGAGTTGTGCCTGAGATACAAGTTACGCGACAAGGCAAGTGGTAAGAACGATAAACAACCCCCACAGTTTGCAGAGYGTACGTTTAAGAAGATAGACCAGCCGCTGACAGTTGAAGAGCTGCGTCAAGCTGAAAACAAGATTATCAAGCTTGTGCAAGTGACAGCTTATTCAAACGAGCTGCGAGTTCTACGCTCACTTAAGGTGACCGACGACGAGACGACGAGAGAGAAGGCAAGAAGGCGAAACAAATCCATGAAGAAATGCAGTCAGTTATACCGACTAGATCCTTTTGTAGACGCCGATGGAATCTTGAGAGTCAGCGGTCGCATCCGGCGTGCAAATGTATCCAATGAACTCAAACATCCTATTATCCTGCCACGAAAGGGACATGTTACACAGCTAGTAATCAGACACCACCACGAGATAGTCGAACACCAAGGCCGAGGAATCACGATGAACCAGATACGAGCTACAGGCGTATGGATTATCGGTGGGAATTCTGCCCTAGCGCAGTACCTTTACAGATGCGTAAAATGCCGTAAGCTTCGTGGTAGCGTACAAGAACAGCGAATGGCCGACCTGCCTATGGATAGGGTAGAACCCTCGCCCCCGTTTACCTTGTGCGCGGTAGACTATTTCGGTCCGTGGACAATAAAGGAAAGGCGCAAGGAAATGAAGCATTACGGAGTATTATTTACTTGTATGGCATCACGCACAGTCCCCCTCGAGACCGCCAACGCATTGAATACAGACGCGTTCATAAACGCATTGCGCCGCTTTATCGCCAGACGAGGGCCTGTCAGACAAATAAGGTCCGACCAAGGAACTAATTTTGTTGGAGCTAAAGGAGAGCTAAAGGACGCCCTCGAGGAAATGGATCAGTCTAAGATCCACCGGTTCTTGCTAGAGAAAGGCTGTGACTGGACAAGTTTTAAGATGAACGTACCCGCGGCCAGCCATATGGGCGGAGCCTGGGAGAGGCAGATAAGGACAACCCGCAACGTTCTCAACTCAATGCTCGAGAACTCTGGACAACAGCTAGACGASGAGTCCTTAAGAACTTTCCTTTGTGAAGCTGAGGCCATCATAAACTGCAGACCGTTAACAACAGACACAGTTGGATCGCCAGACTCACTAGAACCCCTTACACCSAATCATTTGCTGACGTCCAAGTCAAGACTGGTATTACCGCCACCGGGAGAGTTCCAGCTTGCCGACATGTACCTTAAACGCAGATGGCGCACAATACAGTTTCTTGCAAATGAGTTTTGGAATCGCTGGAAGGGGGAATTCCTCCAGTCACTCCAGCAAAGGCAGAAGTGGACTCGTCCCCGACGAAACCTGAGAGTTAATGACGTCGTCATTATAAAGGACGAAGACATACCCCGTAACCAGTGGCGACTGGGTAGAGTGGAAGAAACGTATCCTGATGAAGAAGGAACACTAACGAAGGTCCGACTGGCAGTTGGAAATGCAAGTACCGAAGGACCCAACAGAAAGGCAAGGACGTTGGAGAGACCCGTGCAGAAACTTGTGCTGTTGGTTGCCCAGGAAGAATAGAAGATGACGATTCCCTGACGAGGAGCCTTATCGATGGACTATGAACGTTTAAAGTTTGAGTTTAGATAAAGAATGAACTTTAGTTTGAACAGTTTTTCACGTTTGATTGATTGTAAATACCAGCAGGGTATTTGGGGAGCCATGTAGCTGCATATCGCGACAGTCGTGACGTCATCACCGGCAGACGGCGTGGTTAGAAGCCAACGTCGTTCGATGGTGAGACACACGGTTTTTCTTATCTGTAGTTTAGAACGAAGTTTGGCTCTAATAAAGAACAATGTAAAACGTAAAACGCTTGAATTCAATTATTACACAAGGATATGAGTTTAGGCCTGGTTGATTTGAAAGGCTTTATTCAAAACAAACGTGAACATCATTTTGATCAAATATGAAGCTACAGCCCCCCTTCAACCACCTTGGATCCACCTTTGTTGTTGCTCCAGTTGTTCTTTCAACAAAAAAATTGTTTTTTGTTATATTGGCCCTTCACGTGATCTTTGTTAAAATGTATATTCCAGTGATAACGAGTCTGAGTCAGCTCACAGCCAAAATCTAGGTGGAACGCGACAGACAAGAACTGGACAGACAGGGCATGGTGGTCGTGACACTCCACAGACGTTACAAGGTGGTCGTGACACTACACAGACAGGCCAAATGTCAGTGCCGTCCAAGTACGTTTTTGCCTTTTTAAGGCAGTTCCACACTCTTGCTGCTGTGTATCTCGCACGCAAACTTTTATTGAAGAACATTAATATTATAGAAGCTCAGGATTATGTAGTGCCGTGAACATTGGTTATTTTGCCGCGAGTTTATTGTGTTGTGCCGTGAAATTTGGTGTTGCCGTGACGGTTATGGGTCACCGTAAGCATCGATACCTTTTGTAATCTTCAACCTTTTGTGCACGTTTTGGACTTTTTTTGCATTTTGAATTGGCATTTTGTGGCGAAAAGCTGCCACACCTTCCTGAGAACTTCCAAAGAAAGAAGACTGTTCTGTTTCTATGGCAACTGCTACAATTTTATTGCCTAGTTTGAAATGCGTCTAATTTGTAATTCGCCTTTGGAAGAGTTGTCTCTGTTTTGCTTCTCTTTAAAAATACTGTGAGCCCTGCTTTTTTTCTTTTTAGCCAAAGCTCTACTCATAACATTTTGGATTAAAGAAGTTAATTTCCCTTTATAATTTTGTATTTCACCATGTCTTTAACCAACAACCACGTGCATAACGCCTTTGAGAAGACATTAAGGAAATGTAAGATGAGTAGATAAATAAGCGAACCATCAAACTAATGACCGGAGTGAATGAATGAACGGGAGACCGATTTATGATTAGACAGCGGAGGAAAGATTCAACATTACCTCAAAAGCAGGGTCCACGGAGAAACCTAGTAAAAAGTGGGAAGGAAGAAATGGGGAGAAGCTAGGAATAGAATAAATAATAGTAAAAAAAGTTGGGGTGGGTTGGGCGAACTTCTTAGTCGTGTTCTTTGAACGTGTATCCCCTCTGACGTCAGAGCACTTTGTATGGTTTTAAAGCCTAGTGAAAAATAAAATCCGTTAATACGAGGTTAATTAAAAGGGAATTTATGAATAGCATATGTACTTGTCAGATACCTGAACGGGGGAAATTAGCAAGAATCCGTTGAAATTGCGCATCAAGGACATCGTCAGCAATATCACTGTATCGGGACTTGTTGGTAAGTTTGTACTAACTTAACCTGTTCTCTACCGTTCGCTTGGTTACACCGAGCATAAGCGCCATGTCTTGTACATTAAAACCGTTTTCTTTAGAACAAGTATATTGTAATACGTGTTATTTTGCTTCTTTTAAGTTACGTAGATAGCCTCATTTTTCATATTCCCATCCACTCTCACCCATCTATCTAACAAATACCCCCGGCAGACGAATCCAACTATCAGCAATTTTTTATTTGATAAACAATTCATTCAAAACCTTTCAAAAAAAGAACCTGCTCATATGAAATTGAGAATTTTGGACTGCCTCTGTGTCCCTGATTCTGGATAGGAACTTCGTAATTCATGAAGTAACTTTCCTCTGTTATGTTCATACTTGCTTCTTTTTGAAGTAAATTTCATGCCTTAATAATTAAATCGCAAACTTGTACTGGAACTTTTTCATTTAGGAGAGCAGCCTCTGTGATAACTTCAAGCCTTAATACAGTGCGGCTAAGGTCCTCGAAGCTAGGGCTACCCTCTAGTGTACCTTGTACATTTTTTAATTCTTCAAGTAGTGGGTCCATGTCACTTTGATAACTGATCATAACCTTCAGAGTCTTCTTGGAGTTTTTGCCAAACCCAATGATGACTAGAACGATAGAAATTTTTCTATCATTTCCATTACATTTCACAAGCTTTGGTTAATTATTTTGGATTTTTACAAGGACGGATCAAGTGGTGCTGTAGCCCCCCTCTCAAGCCTCGTTTACCCCCTTTGCATCCACATTTCCCACCTAATCTTTTATGATTTCGAATCCTAGCCCCCTTCCCAACTGGTGTCTTGCAAAATTTTGTCAAGCCTATATTTTTTGGCTGGATCCGCCCTTGTTTCTTCGATATTTAGATCAACGTCGCTGCGTTGCGTAACACAAATTCAACCTTCATAACTCGGCATCCGAATTTCAAAAACACCTTTTCCTGTGATTTAAATCGTACTTGAAAATATTGTAAATTTTCTTTGTATGATGCATAGTTTAGATTTTAACTTTTTAATAACATCAAGTGAAACCAAGGCACGCTCAATCGACCCACGACGTTCAAGTCTTTTTTTGAAGTCTATACACTAATAAGACAAGGGGGACTTGGAAATAAATGCAGTTTCCTAAAATATTCTAGCTTTTGTATGAAGGCAACTGCTGCTTTTCAAGTGAAATTACTCAGTCCACGCGGCTAGGGTTATACAAACACTTCAATCAGATTTTTATAAAGTAAAATAGCAGATCGATTTCACAAATTTGTGTCCTAAAGCAGGGCTGATATGTTCCCTACCCGGTTATTTCAACTTAAACTTCCATAAAAACATCTAAATTAGAGGAAAAACAGGCATACAACAAATCACCTACCTAGAGTAAAGGTTAAGATGCCAACGTGGTGACCACAGATCGGATGCGATCTGGTTTCATGATCACTGCACTTTAAGTCCAACAACTCATCCCTCCCTAGTAAGTTGTGTCTTCGGGAAACCACGCTCTGCGGGAGACTAGCTATTCCATTCAACATCAAGCTAGACCGATGGATAGTTAGCTATTCCATTTAACATCAAGCTAGACCGATGGATAGTAAGCTATTCCATTCAACATCAAGCTAGACCGATCGACAGTTTAAAGCTATTCCATTCAACATCAAGCTAGACCCATCGACAGTTTAAAACTATTCCATTCAACATTAAGCTAGACTGATTGATAGTTAGCTATACCATTTGACATCGATAGTTAGACCGATCGACAGTTTAGAGCTATTCCATTCAACATTAAGCTAGACCAATCGAGAGTTAGCTATACCATTTGACATCGATAGTTAGACCAATCGACTTGCGATGTATTTTTGGTGTCGGCCGCCCATATAGGTGTTGCGGATGTGCAACTACTGCCTGAAAACAGTTGAGGCATGCTCATGATATGGTTTTCCATATGTATGTAAAACTATAATATAGTATTTATATTATGCCATTCTTCTTCTTMTTATTATTATATTGCCTAAATTATTTCTGCTTTATGTTTTGTAACCATGGCTTACGTGGCTTGTGGTTATGGACTATAACCTTGTTTTCATTTTCATTATTCTTACGGGGGGAGGAACCTCTCCGTTTGAAGATGAAACACATTAAATTACCTCCCAACTATTCAGGTACAATATTAATTTAACAAGTCAGGGAAAAATCATGTAGGGTGAAAGGAAAATCAATACATGTACATCTACAGGTACATATCTGAAGCCAAAGGCCCGAATGTTCTATTCAATATTTTTGGCAGTAATTGGTTGCTCAAATCTTATGGTTTCCTTAAATTCTACTTAACTATCTATCTATTTATATACATATAAATTCACAGATATTTTACACATAATGCTTTCTATGAAACGCAAGAAAAAGTCTATATAGTACTACTTATATGCAGGTCAAAATGTATGTCTTTTATAAGTGTTCTGCTCTTTGGAGTAGTAATCTTGCATTCCATTCTCATTATCAAGAAAAACATATATTTGCATGCATGGTCCACACTTAACTTGTTATGATAAGGTCTATTTTAAACACCCATTGGTGTCATCTACATCATATTTTCTATTGACTTACTGGTTGTATTGATATATAGTGATTTTGAAATACTTCACATATATGCAACTATTATTGTCTACTTGAATCAGGTAAATTGCCAGAGCGATTGGAAATGAAAATTCCGTGGTCAAAGGCAGATAAGAAAGCTTAAGGTAAGTGCAAAAAATTTTATTCATTCACTTTTAACACATATTAGGGTTTGCATATTGGCAATGATTGTACATATAAAAAAATTCAGAGCCTGCTTGTTGTACAAAGGTTAGGGTTAGCACTATAGCACTGGATATCACTTACCCTGAGCAGTTAAAACAAATATAACTGCATAACTCTTATCTGGTGTGTTATGTACTCTATCCAGCCTTTGTACATGGGATCGGATAACACATATTTAATAAAATTTTCTAATGCATGTCATTAAAATATGTTTCAGGAGTAACGCTTACACTATGGTTTAACCCTCTAAAATCAGAGTTATGTCCAGTTACTGTCCTTTTAATATGGCTACTTGTTTCAGGTAAAATTATAATTTGATATCTAGTCTATATCATGTATGAATTGGCATATTATACTTTTACTTCCTTCTAGTATCATTGTATATTGAGGAATGTGAGAAACTGAGTCATCAACAATAAATTATTATACCAAGTTATTTTTAAATCTTAATTATGCCTACCATACCATAGATTAAATAAAATATTATTGTTATAAATAGCTTTATTGCAATTTTTTGTTTGGGGGAAGGGGGGCGGAGGGGGGTTGAATTTCATTTATATGTTCCAGCTATCATGCCTAAAAATATACTACGCTAGTAATCAGTTGCAATTGCAACTAGAATCCATCTAGGAGTGCATAGTACAGTTTTGATCAGTCATATGGCATTTCATTTCAACTGATGAGCATGTGGAAAACAAACAAAGGAAAGGGCTCCCTGAAATTTAAAAATAGAGTTGGAGATGTTATCCTTTTTAGAAGGCTGAGAAATCGCATTCCTTGACTTGCCTTCAGGAAGCTGAATAAAGATTGGTTAAAATGCATTAGTTTCACAATAAAAAATGTATTTATAATTTTATGGTAATGATGTGTGCTTCTGATCATTCCTTTTACAGATGTAAGAAAAGTACTCCTTTTTCCCAGTGTTGCAAAGAACAACCGCAAGCTACATCCCAATTCTGCCTGAGGTGTAACATCGTACAGAAAAAAAAAAAAAAGGTAAATTATGTTATGTCAGCTTATAAAATATTGGCCGCCTACAGAACCTTTCTCCCGCAGTAAAGAAATTGAACTAGTTAATTATAACATACGATATTTTCCTAATAGATGTGCCAAGCTCACAACCCTCAGCATTAGACGTTCAGCTGATAGATGGGCTGCTCCTTGTGGGGCAGATGACAGCACGATTAAAAGGGCAGGAAGATGGTAGGTTCTAATGATGTTATTACTGTTGACTTCGCGATAACATATTGCTTTTGTCTTGGAATCATCCAAGTGAGGCATTTGTGTGTCAATAGAATACTTGTTTTCTCATTTGGCTATTTGCATTATACATCTGTGATATCTACTAATAATTTCACCTCCAAATCACCATTGAGTTGTTTCAAGTTTTATACAAACATTCAGCAAGGGAACTCAATCTTTATTCATAATCTAAGCTTTTTATTTTAATTGTGCTTGCTTCATTCTGTCCCTAAAGATTAAGTGTCCCAGTCATTAAAAGTGTATCCAATATTTCAGTTCTTTAGCCCATATTTTTAACACGGATAATTTTTTCGAAAGGAGTCTTTTGTTAAATCCTGTTTTTAATAAAGGCACTAAACCCATGAAAAATCCTTACAGCCAGAAAAGAAAACCATGGTTTTGTGTTTGTTTCATAGGTATAGTCACTTCGCTTTGATGCATAAAAAGTTAACCTTTTTGAACTTGCTTACAATGAAAGTTGGAATGAGAATAGACCTTTTAGTTCCACTTGTTTTTCATGAATTAGAGGATTACTACAAATCAATTTACCTCTTGATATTTATTATATATGTTTCGCAAATTAATGTTGTGTTCTTTGTATATATTGTAAATGCATTTCCTTTSACTATAAATTGAAGTGTGGCTTCCATTTTTGTCTTTATAGTTCCTCATTTGGCAGGTCCAGTCTTTAAGTGGATGGCAATCTTCACCACCATTTTCCCAGATTTCTTTCAATTCCTCCAGTCTTTCAATGTTTCTTGGAATTTTTAATGATTCCAACCAAAATTCAACACCTTGGTACATTTGAGAACCATGTGTGTGTGTGTGGTGGCTGTTGGGCCTGTGGCGGTTGGGCCTGTGTTAGTAGTAGTGGTGGCTGTGCGTTCTGTGGTTGTGTGTGCGGTAGCTGTTGGGCCTGAGCTATCCACTCTGATAAAGATGAGTTGCGTCATGAAAACAAAGAGACGGCATTGATCCATTAATAATCTCACTATTACGCAGGAAATTTGTTTGGTCACTTAAAGCTTTTTGAAATAGATCTTCATTTTAGTGAAGCCATACAAGGTAGATTAGAACATCAAGTTATTAGAACCAAAATAGTATGATATTGTAAATCGTAAGTTACTTTACTTACATCTGATTCTGTGTTTGCGTCCTCTGAATCCATTTTTCTGCCATGTCAAGAACACCGCGCGTGGTGAAACTGGATTAAAAAAGGTACTGTACACCTCCCAATTCTATCAATGATTAGGTGTTGTGAATAATGTAAGTGATGATGCAAAGATTACTCGGATGACATTCGAATTGTGCGTCTTATTTTATTTATTTATTTTTTTTTTTCGATCTTTTTCTTACCAGTAAATGCTACAAGTATTGTCAAACATTAAATAAAAAATATAATAATCAAAAAAAAAAAAAAAGAAAAAAACAATTTCGTATTTCGTTTTGGAAAATCTTATTACCAACTTTTTTTATTTAGCATCTCATAGTTATCGTACCTTGACAAAAAGACGGCATGAATACAAGTGTCAAAAGAGTGACAATACACAGCATCAGTAGTTTTATTATCAATATACCGATGTTACTTGAAGTGAGTCAAAGAGCTACCCTACTATTTAAAACTGGCGATAAAACGGGTATACGAAGTGAACACTTATATTAAGTAAACTGAATACATCATTACATTGTTTTTGATAAAAGTTCAAATGTTCTTCCATCTATGAAACGGTAACGGTAATAGAATCTTGTTTCTTATATGTATGCCCATGGTTGTTCATTGCTTTGCAATGAGTCATTTCCGTTAGAAGTGTCACCTCTAAAACCATTGAGGGTTTCAAAGCTTTATTGCCATGACTCACAAAATTACAGGTATTGCTAAAGCATAGAACATTA